GACTGAACAAGGTAGAGTGAGTCATTTTCCAACATCCTTCATGGGATAATATCTGACTCTTCCCGATTTCGTTCCGAAATCCGGATTCGTCTCAAATCCGAGATTACCGTTACAACTCACATCCTGCACATTCCGCACACAAATATGTTCGAACCTAGGCTACACACCCTGCGTTGCTGTGCACCCTCTCTCCTGACGCAGCATGAGTGCTTCATCACTCTGCTCCTGTCCTGACACCTCCAGCATGACATTGCTCGACTGCGGCTACTGGTTACTGCATGTGGGCGGCTGGCTGGTTCAAAGGCAGTAGACATATGTAGTCTATGGCTGAATCGTAAAGCATGTTCTCTTCTGTCTTTACGTCATATCTCTCAAGTTCTGCATTCTCACTCTCAGCAGTATACTTTGTAGTTGTACTGTGTTGTTGGAGGCACTCAACAACAACATATCGCTAGGGGCGCCTTTGGTGCAATGACCATGCCCACGGCAAAGAAAGGTCGTAGTGGCTCAGTTCCTGTTGTTTGTGATAGCTGGCCTCGGATTGATGGAGCGTCAAGTTGTCGGAGCATCCGTTCGAGGTGGTCACTGCCTGTGTTCGTTCCCCTACCTACCAAATTGTGCTTCAATTTACCTGCTTGCCAAATTTACAACAAGTTGCGGCAATACGTATTTCGGAGGAACTTTTCACACCCCGGACTGTTCGTCATCAGCCCAGTTTCGTGCCGAGCAAATTATTGTCACTGGTACTATGTATGCATATCTACTGCTGTCCAAACCTCGAAACGAAAGAACCCGTCCGACACAGGCCGGTGCAGCACGACCGAGGGCGTTAGGATGGTGCTGCTGCCGCCTGGCTACTGCCCTCATTTCATGAGTATCTACCTGACCTCGAACTACGGCAATGCAACCAAAGACATAAGCGGCCAGCAATCATAACGGCGGTGACCACACGTACGCGTGGCTGCATCTCGCGCGTGAGTGCGTTGTTTTTTTTTTCCCAGAAAGAAGCGGATGCGGGAACCTCTCTCGCCATGTTGTTTGCGCACACACGCATCCAGCTCTTCTTCGAAGGAACCCGCCCCCGAGGAAGGCAGGAGGAGTGCTCACGTCTAGAGACTCGCCATATGCATGTATGTGCGTGCTGTGGAGGCGTGTACAGCTGCAGTGCAAGGTGAGGGTGTGTGTGTTCTTGCCGGAGGAAGCCTACAGATGGACGAGTCAGCCCTCTCAAAAATCGGCAAACTTGCGGGCGGGTTGCTTATCTCTCGGCGGGGACCCAAACCCACTGCCAAGCTGCCAAGCTAAGGTTGCACCTCTACTACATGCCAGGGTACGTGCTCACCACCACAGAAGGTCGCCTGAGGCCGTTTGGAGCTGCTCCCGACCACCCGCGTTTCAGGACAGGAGTTGTGAAAGGCCTCTCCGCCCTCTCCGCATCTCCGCAGACGTTGTTCTGTAATTCAAATAAATTCCGAATATATGATGGGGGGTGTTAATTGCCGATCCCGGCCATTTTTCACACCGAAGTTAAATAATTAAAACCGTTAGTGTAACAATTCCTGGTTTACCGCAATAGTCGGTGAGTTGGCAACGGGTGCGATCGTTTTTTTTTATGTTTTTTCCCTCGTTTTATATTATCGCACCCCAGGCGGTGCCATAGCTGCATACTGAAACCCCACGGGTTGAGTGACGTTTGCGATTGCCGGCCAAATAGACGCATTGAGTGAGGATAGCTGCGTACTGAAACTTCACAGATGGATTGGTTTCTGAGATTGCCAAACCCATAGACAGACGCGTTGAGTGAGGATGTGACCTCGTGGCTGACACACACATCGTCTTCGCTGCTGATCGCTGTACATCCAGGTGGTGGGTCATTTCTACGTGTTGTATCCTTCGCCACTCCGTAACATGTCGACACCACTGCTCCACACGGAGAGACCAACTGCTACTCGCTGCTGCTGCTGACCTTCATGACGGATGCTCTACGACGTGATTAAGACATGGTTGCGACAAGATATCTCGACAAACCGCTTTGAGGAACACCAGGGAAGTTGACAACAACCACCACACACATTGGATGTAAATCATTTGAAAACTTTCCATGCTCTACTGATGGTGTTTACCAACACCCAACATAACAAGAAACAAGCTAACAAGAAACAACCTGAATGCTATGCCCTACCTACCATGCACCAGGTATACCCTTCTCATCTACTGCTGTATAAACATCACTGATACGCTACCCCAAAGGATCAAAAATGATTTGTAAACTTAAAAAAACGGCGGGAAACACCTGCTGTCCGTGAAATTCAAAAATCGGGGTACTTATATTATTGGGAGCCCACGTCGGACGTCCCATGGGACAGCCCTAAGACGTCCCACGTGTCCCATGGTGTCCCATGGGACAGCTAGGGTCGTCCCATGGTGTCCCATGGGAGACGTGGGACGGCCCGTGGGACGCGTGGGACGTCCCATGGGACACCATGGGACGCGTGGGCCGTCCCACCTGTCCCATGGGACGGCACACGTGTCCCATGGGACGGCCCACAGGTCCCATGGGACGTCCCACGTGTCCCATGGGACACATGTGGGACGTCCCAGGGCTGTCCCATGGGACATCGTGGGACACGTGGGACGTCCCAGAGGAAGTCCAGTAGAACACAATTAATTAAGACAAACTTAAACTTTCCCTCTGTATGTCTACGGAAGTAGGACGGACCACGGGACACATGCAACGATTGCACCCCCCCCCCACTCGGTGTTTGCCATCGGGATTGAGTTTCGTCGCTCTGGCAACGACGTTGTAAAACAAGCCAATTCACTTCGTGAACTCGGCAACCAGGTTACCGTTTTTTTTTTTTTTTTACCTCGGTTTTTTTTTTTGGCGGTAGCCATAATGGTGGTCGAGTAGATCATGTTGTGCGGGGTCGAGAAACCTCACTCCGCGCAACGGGGGATGATCGCACCACGTTGTGTTAAAATGGTCAAGCTTCCTCGAGGCAGTTACACAGTGCTTACAACTGTCTCTGGAAGTGAAAGCACCAGAAAATAAATTAAGTCATACGTGGCTGTCATCCGTACGCAAGGAAGTAAGCACAAGATGCCGAACACCCGTAGCAGGATGCAGCTCACCCTTCATGCGACTCGCCAAATAGCTCACGGCGCTTCGCGCTTGGTGATGTGAGAGCCTGGTCCGGTGAGAACCCGGCGTGCTCCGTCCCGGCTTTGTAGGGATGCGAGGTCAATGGTCAAACGACTACGGCATGCACGACTATGAGTACACCCCCCCCCTCCTGCCCCCTTTTCCCAGGTACTGACACTATTGGGATCCCACGTGGGACGTCCCATGGGACACGTGGGCCGGCCCATGGGACACGCGGGCCATCCCATGGGACAGGTGGGACATCCCACCTGTCCCGTGGGATGGCCCATACGGACGCACGGGACACGTGGGACGTCCCGTGGGACACGTGGGACGTCCCATGGGACACCAAATCTAGAACGTGGGACGCGTGGGACGCCCCATGGCACCACGCTAGGGACGTCCCACGCGGCGCTCGAAAACAGGCGTGGGACGTCCCAGAGCCGGTCTCCCCTACGGTGTCCCACTGCTGTCCCACAGGCGTTTATAATAATTAGATATATTTATCAGCTAATTTAGTGCAAGATAAGAGAATACCCGAACACCCCAGCTGCTCTTCCCTACAGCAGTACCCAGCGACCTGTACCAAGCAGCAGCACGAGGTCGGATTACCAGTCGTGCGAAAGGATCTTTAGGGGGTTCGGGGGTCGGGTTTCCGGAAGGTTCGGAAAGCATGCCGTGCTTTTTGGGCGCGCGCGCACGCGGTTCTTGACGGTTTGGAGGTGGTACTCGGCTAGCTCAGCTCTGCTAGCTTGCACACTGAAGCCCGAGCTGTGCAGGCTTGCAGAGCCCGCCTGCTCGTATGTTCTGTGGAGTATGTTCCTGCGCGCACAGGGGACTCATGGTGTGTAGGGGAGGAGAAGAATGCTGCTACAAAAACATGTCAGGACCGCCGAAAGCAAACAATTAGTCTATAATGTAGACTGTTGTCGGGGGCACCGATTTGTATGTGCGCGCTACCGGGCTGCCGGCCGTTCGGTAGGGCGTGTACTGCTGCTGTACGAAGAGCGAGTGGAATATCTAGCTGAGTCTAGGTGCTGTAGGTCTAGGCCTACTTTGCACAGCTTCGAGATGACCGGAACATCTTTCTGTGCTGTACACGAAAGAAACAACCGATTGCCCCGCAACGCTAGATAGAGGTAGGCGCATCAGCATCCAGATCTGCCGCTGCCATCTGCTTCCAGATTGATAGCTTGCCAACGTCCAACCAGGCATAACACTGCACAACAACCCATACGACGTCTGAAGAAGCATGTTTCCCCCAATCCCCCACAGCCACCCTATAAGGCGTCGAAGTCCTACCCATTTCCGGCTCAGGCTAGACCTAAACAAGATATGACACAAGATATCACACCCCCTCGACCGATTTTCCAAGCTCCATTCTTTCACAGCAGAAGCGTGGCAGCGCCGGAAACGGCGGCGTTGAAGCCGCTCTGTCAAGAGCCTTCTGAAACAGTCGTTTCATGCACGCATTCTCTTCGTGGAGTAATTGATGTTTGAAAATCGGTCCATGCTATCTATAGTGTCACCTACGGTACGGTCCAGGCGGGTAGGCTGCTGCATTTACAGGCACACATCGCAGATCATCTGCTCCCATGTAGGTTGCAAATGGCAGATACTAGATTCAACACCTTCCCATGTCGAACTATCGAGAAAACCCCAAAGTTTTTGCGCGGGGTATATTGGGGAGATATTATACGAGTGTATTATACACCAGGTTTGAGCGAGTCGTCGCCACGTTGTTTTAAGCATACTTACTTGTAGACTTACTTCATGTAGGTTGAAGGGGAAGTTGGTTGAAGGGGGAGTTGCAGGAGGGGAGAGAGGAGCCGACATAGTCTCGCCGATAGCCTGCTTGTTAAGCTTTGGTTTAGAAGGGGTGAACGCGGAAAGAAAACAACATAGCTTCAATATATACCGTAATAGTCGGAGAGATAGGACCGGTCTGAGAGGTGGCACCGGTCGGGGAGATGGCACGGGGTTGCTAAAAAAATACGAGAACGGCCCGATTTACATCCATTTACGCACCGGGGTCAGTGAGATCGCACACCGACCGCCAAACCAAGATTGAGCTCATTTTCAGCTGCCGGAGTGAGGTACATGTGTGTTCCTTATACATGTGGGGATGGTGTCAGCGGAGCGCCACCCCTGCATGTACGTATGCATGGTCGCGGTTCACACGGGATGCCAGTTGATTTCATATTTGAATTGGTATGGAAGTTGCCAACCGTATACTCTCAACCAGACGCACAACGTACAAGCCACATCCTACCCCACCTTTCACAACACGAAGCTATTGTTGCTTCGTACGTACTGGTATACGTAGAGGAACACCGAAACGAAAGCGGAAGATAACTGATGCCGTATGTACCAGTACCTCAGAGGGAAACGACATCCTTTCTTGTCGTCACTCTATAGCCAAACTCGCATCAAACACGACACCACTCGCTGTATGGAAAGCTGTTACGTACCAGCCTACGTTGCCGTTACCGGTATGCTCCCACTCATACAACACCTGTGTGTATTTCATCGGAGATCGCACCGGTCGGAGAGATCGCACCGGGCTACCTTGAAAATGTAATCAAAAAGATCTAATTGCATTCCCGCACCGGGGTCGGAGACATGGCACCGGGGCGCGATAAAAACTCAAGGAAGAACATTTAAAAAAACGATCGCACCCGGTGCCATCTCTCCGACCATTACGGTATCTCGAAACGGCATGTACGTACCACAAGTCCAGGACGAAATGGTATTGAATGCCAAAACGCAACCTAAAAATTATTGCCAAGTGGGCAAGTGGGCAAGTGGGCACCAGACAACTTTCTTGGACAGAACACAAAATAATTTCTACCCTCATCCGGATGGAACGCAATGAGCCGAACCCAATGGTAGGTAGGTCTGCCTTGTTTTCGATATAGGATCAAAAACGGTTCTTCGACAATTCGTTACTTTCACATTTGGGAACAGGTCTGGTTGTCCTTGGATACGCATCTTTCAAGCCAAGGCTCGAAGGCAAAAGATATATCGCGCTCTTGGAAACACAAAAAACAGCGAGCAGTCGATAGTACTGGAAGTGCTGTGAAAGGCTGACAAACGGAACGTCGGTGGGCTCGGAAATAGTTCTTGAAGCAACTCTATCGTGTAGCGAAACCAATGAATTCCCCTCAAGAAAAACCAAACGTATCTATCCCCCCAAAACGCGGAGCTGTATATTCCTACCACCAGCCTCGACACACCATCAACCGAAAGACTGCAAAAACAAATGAACTCTACCCACCACTGCGAACCGGGCGAAATGACGTAATGGCGCAAGCGGTTCAGCTCAAGCGGACACCGTACCACAAAGCATCCGAGACATTGTACAACAACATCCGAGCCCCCCCAAAAGTATGGCTATGGCTTAACAAAGGTCAGCCGGACCCGGCCGAACTGGTCGAATGATCGCATTAGAGACTTCTGGCAGAAGCATCTGCCGCAAAACCAAACCTGAGCCTGGCAAATCTCTACTCGTTCCGAGCCATGGCCTCGAACACGCTTGACCATGTTTGCCACCGATTTGCGGTTTATTGCCTCATTCTCGGTCTCGTTGATCAGAGTTACCATGAACGCAAAGCGGTCAAATTTCATGACATTCAACATGTGCAGAAACTTTTTCTTCTTCGCATGGTTCTGCTCGTGCGCGTTGAGGTTGACCCCCGAGAGCTGGGAGCATGAGTCTATCCCACCGTACTTTTGGCGGCAGTCATCCCCGTGGTTGCAGTCGTGCAGGGCGTCAGGCCCGTAGTAAGGCCCGGCATTGCTCCCCAAGGCGTGCGTTCTGCGCACTGTCGCCGTGGGGTCCTCCTGCAGCGGTTGGATGTCGAACGGAAGGCCATACTCTTCCACGATGCCATTGGTGTCAGCGCTTTTCCCCGGTTGATGTTGAGCCACCTGAATCTGAAGGACTTTCGTACGCTGCACCGCCGACCCGAAGCATGCTCCTGAGCGCACAGCCAGTTCTGTGAGGACGAACAGAGATGACGTGCAAAAAAACGGTATGCCATGTGTTGGCTCATGAAAACGTTTTGACTAAGGTTTGATCATTTTGAGCCGGCCTGGAGGTAACGAACGACACGTACCATACCGGCCTGATACCGGCACCAACATTGACACATTATGGAAAAACGCACACAGCCCGGTAGATTGGCGGTCCTTAGATTATTGGACCAACAAAACGACTAGCCTCAACACCTAACACGCAAGTGTCCACGTCCTCGTACCTGCCCTCTTCTTTGCGCACTGGTTGGCGGGTTGAAGTCCAATCGCGATGAACACCTCCTTGGCCTGATCCAGATGTCAGAGGTCCCGAAGAAGGGGACGGAAAGTAAACCGTGTGGTCGAAAAAGTTGTCTAAATAGTTGGGTTACCGCAATGGGCTGCTTTAATGCATTTATACAGAAAACTCTGTACAAGCATCAGAAAAAAAAAACATTGCTGGGTAGTCTTGTTGACATGGCAGCAACTCAAGAGCTTCGAGCACTACATACAGCCTTTTAATATGCAACGAAGTGCATGCGCTGAATGGGAGAGGTGTGGTAGTTTTAGCGGTGGGTACAGAGCATGCGCATGTCCTTACCAGCATGCGAGAAAAGATGTTCTTGTTCCCCGCTCTAGCGTCTCTAGCATTGTTTTTCAAATTGCAGCAACACATGAGTAATATATCAATATGTCAGCAGTGATCTACCTATGTTCACTGCTCCGAATTGAAGAACAAAACATGAAACAAGGTAGGTTTCGCGCAGAAATCAAATCAACCGGCGACGCCGAGAAGGAAAACGGAAGGAACGTAAGGTGGAAGAAAAAAAAGAAGGAGGGACAACGATGTTCAATGAGGAACGCGAAAATAAACCCACTTGACCAACGGAGCAACGAACAACCACCAGTATTGATAATACCGCCAAAGACAAAGCACAACAGCCCACTACGTCAGCTACGCAAAGAAGGCGTACTCACCCAGGCGTAGGCCAAAACCAGGTGATCGAGCGCCGCAGGTCGAAGATCATTCTGGCCAGCCACAGGTTCGCAAAGATGCTGAGAGAAGGAAGGGAGTTCCGGAGCCTTGCCGGTGGTGGACCCAGTCGCCACCGCGAGAACGCGTGTGGAGAACACGCTCTGCGCCGATAACGTCGGCAGCACCGAGCCCGGGGCCATCTGCTCTTCCTCGACAAGTACTGCTGGCGGGACCTCCTTGTCTTGTCCTTCGCTGATGAAAGCCACGAGCTTGGTGAGGCGCACGTTCAGAACAGCCACTACCTCAAAGAGGTCCATGGAGTGGTGGCTTCGGCGGCGCAGGTTCCGCAAACGGGCCCGAGCAAGCAGCACGAAATCCACGGCGGTGGTCCCTTCTTCTCTATCCTGCCATGCTGAAACGCTGAGAAGCTGACCGCAGTCCAACCGTTGAACCGGAGGAGAAGTTTGCGCATCGCGCAGGAGATTGTACACATTGCGTTGAGTGCATTTCTCCTGCGGTACGGGCTCCGAAACCTGATCGGCGCCAAGAAAGTAATTTCCCAGAGGCGCTAGTGCTGGGATGTCCACCTTCCGCATGCCATGCTCGTCAGGCTCGCCAACCCGGGGAAGAACTCCTTCGTTCGGCGCCGCCGTCTGGCAGCGGTCGTGGACGATCGGACCTACACGACACATGATGTCCGTGATGACGAGGATAGGCATGTGCTGCATTATCAATGGGGGACACGGGGGACATGAAAGCATGGGTGAAGGTAGAGCGTGGGAAGTTGACAAAGTTTTCTTGGGTTCTACTGTCGTGTATTCGCCTGACGTATTCAACAGACAGTTCACAAACGAATCTGAGACGGATACGCCAGCAATAGGCTTAACACAGACTGCCAAGTTGTTCTACCCCGGTGCCCATTTATTGCATTTAAAAGCCTTTCGAGATGAGGGTCACACACATGTTGTGTAGACAACCCCGAGGTCGTGGACGCTGTTTGAGAACTTGCCGAGAAGAGTCCAACGGGGGAATGTGCGAGACAAGAAGAGGAAAATTTGCAAAATTTTCCGAAGAGGTGACACAATTCCATGCCTCCCTTTGAGAACAGCACATGTGCAGACTTCGATTCCGACTTGATTTTTTGGACAACACTAGATTTCAGATAAAAAAAAGCGACACAGGGTCTGGCCGTGCGCACGACCAACTGTTCCCAGAATTAATACTGGTGCGAGCATTGGAGTTGGAGTCGATAAGATATTATGTCTACATCCTATCCTACGGCCTGCTTGATTGATGGTCATATTTTCTTCGTGCATGCTGTGAGTTGTGTTAGAAGTAGCGCGTTGGTGGCGTTCTATACAATATTTATCTCTGGCTTGGGCACAACACATGCGCACTCCGGGCCTCCAAGCGCGAGTGGGGCAACCAGTTCGATCGATTGGAGTAGTAGTGTTTACTGCTCATTACAACACAGAGAAACATCATTTCCTGGAAGCGTTCTACATCTTAAATGTGCACCAAAATTCTCCCAAAGACCATGCTTCCTGTGCATGTTCACGGTCTCGTGACCACCTGTGGATTGTGCATATCTAGCTTGGCGGCTTGGGGGCATTTGGAGGGAAGCGGTGGCCTATGTGGCAAACGCGAGCTTTCGGCAGGTGGCTAGGCTTGACACGAAAGATTGGATGAAAAAAAGCTGGAGCCGCTCTGTGAAAAAACAAGGGGGTCCTTGTTTGGGATATTGATGCACGCACCTGTGGTAGACACAGGTGGTAACATGTTTCGAAATGGCGAATTGTTGGACGCATGTTACTTTTTGTGCTACGCTGTTTCCGCATTTGGAGAAATTTTTCCTAGCCCATTTGATATTTTCGTTTCGTTCTAGTAAACGTATAGTGTACCCTTTGGGGGTGTAGTTGGCTTGTGACCACGGAAGGCGTCCGCGTCAGTTGTACCAGTAGTATACGGATATTAAAAGGTACTGCGCGGAGACCGGGGCGGTTTTTAATGTGAACACAAAAAACAACAAAAGCCGTGCGTGGAACTACCATAGTGTACCCACGAAAAGCACGCGCGGGTGTGGCTGGCAGACGTGCTTTGGGTCATGCACCGCAGTACGTGTTTCCTTTTTCTTGCCCCTTGCCCCTTTCGTTCAGAGGGCGGTTGAACTCTACTTCCACATAAAACTTCCAAGTTTTATTTTATTCTGAAACGACACGCAGTTTTCACTTCCGGTATGGACATGCGTGGGCGTGGTATCGCTATCGCTGTGGCCGCACCTGCGGCATGGTTTCGGGCTTCCAGTACTGGGTATTCAAGAAATCATGCGTGCACACACAGACAGACTTTAGCTTCACACGCGCTTGCATCAATTTGACAAAAGTCATTTTTTCTGTGCTCCATGCGCGGAGTTAAAACCTAGGGGTTGACCCGAAGTCGGTTGTACGATATTCGAAAAACACGGCCAACAACGAGTACCATACGTCGTTTATCATAAGCGCACGGACAACAAGAAACACATGCCGTGAAAGAGACCTTTACACAACCGGATTGCGGTTTGTGCTTGTCCCGCCCAATTACTGGTGGACGAACCAAAAGTCAGCCGTGAGTACTTTCGCGTCGGCGTGGTGGTGCTCTACGATAGTTTCAAGGTTGGGAGTGCGTGAACATCGCAGCATGCAGACACCTCGTAGGTGACCATGTTGTCTCCTCCACGTAGATGTTGCTTCAACCCGCTAGATGCCCTAATCGGCACTTGTCGTTTTGCAACAAAGACCGGAAGTATGTACAACTACACTTTTGATCTATACCAACGCAAAATGTGCACACCTTCGTTAATCAAAGCCTGCTCACCATCTGTCGAACGTATTCGACTTTCATTGTTTTCAAGAGTCCGGGATCTTTTGAACGAGCACTCGTGATCAATACGATAATTGTGTTTCTCTACAACGGGGCACTCACCACGTGGTGCAACAGGAGCACGGCCAAGTCTGTGGGGCTCTCCGCGCGTAGCATGAACATATGGCACGTCTGGACTCCGTCCGGGCTGTACCCCCCCTCCACCCCAGACGAGACCAACCATGCCCCCCTTTCCATGAAGAACTTTGAGCAATCCTCCTTTCCGTGGTTGTTCTCCCGCCAGAGCTTCTCCATCGTCTTGAACAGCTCAATCAGCAGCACCCTGTTGGGGTACCTGAGGGTGGGGGGAGTGGATAGAGGGCAGTTGACAAGAGACCGACAGAAAATCTTGTATGAGAGCGATCAGTGCTCATGGCAGTGCAATTGCTCTTTGCTCTACATGCCAACACGCCCTACTTCGTGTGGAAAAAGGAAGCATGTCTCGCACTGCGCGATAAATGAAAGGTTCCCACATAGGTGCGCATGCACTTTCGGCGTCCCGAATCTTTTCCTGAGATAGGAGATGAACAAGGTTGGAGGTTTGCAGCAGACGTCACCTTGACGAGCGAAACAC